TGCTGAACGCCAAGGGGAGAAGCCTCAACATGGCTGCACCATCCACCATGTTTGGGATGCGTCGTCACCTCAAAGGAGAGGCTCTGGACCCACCTTTGGTCCACCTCGCTTGAATCCGAGGCGCTAGCACATGCCTCCCTTTGGCCTTGCTGAACGCCAAGGGGAGAAGCCTCAACATGGCTGCACCATCCACCATGTCTGGGATGCGTCGTCACCTCGGAGGAGAGGCTTAGGACCCACTTCTGGCCACCTCGTTTGAACTCCGAGGCACTAGCATATGCCTTCCTTTGGCCTTGCTGAACGCCAAGGGGAGAAGCCACAATCGCTACATTTCGAGGTTCACACAGTTCATCTCCTTAAGTTACGTTAGTGTGCTTAAGTCCGAGGCTCACATAGTTCATCTCCTTAAGTCGTGTTAATTTGCTTAAGTCCGAGTCCGAGGCTCACAAAGTTATTTAGTTCATACTTCTATCAAGTTCTAGTTCATTTGTTTAACGAGGTATAAAAACTTGGACAAAAAGCAACAATGAAAGAAGAAAGACATTATATTTATATTTCAAAGAAGGTTACAAAGGAGGGCCTCTGGCCATTACATCCAAATTACTGAAAAGTAAAACCTAGTCTATGCCTGGCTAGATGACGGAGGTGCCTCGGCACTGGGGGCTTCGGCAACTTGGGCATCAGTAGTTGTTTCCTCTGCCTCAGCACTTGGGACTTCGGCATCAACTTCTTCATCACCCTGGACCTCCTCAGCTGGGGTCTGAGGTACCTCATCCACAAATTCGGACCTAAGTTGAGCCAGGTCCAAATTAGGATACAGCTCCTCTGCCCGCTCAGCACTTCGGCATAGGCAAACTTCCTCCAGTACGAGCTGAAGCTCTTATACTCCTCTGTAGTGTGGAAATTGGCGATGTATTCCTTCACCGCCTCCTCCCTTGCAGTTCGGGCCTCTTCTCGTGCAACCGAGGCGTCGTTCATGTACCACTTCGCCTGGCCTTCAAGAAACTGATAAGCATCCCGAGCACCGGCCAAGGAGAGATTTGCCTTCTCAAGAGCCTCAGCAGTCACTTTTTGATGCTCATTGGAGACCTTCACCTTCTTTGTCAAGGAGGCCACCTCGCACTGTGACTCATGCACTTCCTTCTTTAAGGCCTCAATCTGCGCCAGAGCAGACTCGAGTTTCGCCGCCTCTTCAACTTTCTGGACCTTGGCTTCTTCAGCCTCGGCCTTAGCAGCTTTCACCTCCTCTGCAAGGGAGGCAGCCTTCCCCTCCAAGGCCTGGGTCCTTGTCTGAAATTCGCTCAAGGCCTCCCTGCATTCGAGCGCGAGGCCAAAGGTCCGGACGCTCTGGCTCACCAGTGCCCTTGTCAAGTCGGTGGCATCGCAAGATGAGGCATGCAACTGCCACCTCTCCGTCCAGAACTTGTAAAAGCTCTCGGTGGCACTTCTGATTTCTTCAGGAAGAGCCTCCACCAAGGCTGGGGCCAGCTCCTCCTCCCTCCCAGCTAGGAAGCTCGGAGACTTTCCCTTCTCCCAAACTGGCTTCTCCTTTACTGCCTCCTCCTCGGCAGCTTCTGCAGCTCGCCTTGCGGCAGCTGCTCTAGCCTCTTCAGCCTCCACATCTCTAACCATCTCCATTTTGATGGCTTTGGAGGCTGCAGCAAGAAGCTTCGGCTCGCCAGTCTGTTCAGCCCTATGGGACACTGAGGTCCCAAACTTTCCAGTTAAGCTGGAGATGTGCACCAGCTTCCTCTTCTTTGTCTCCTCGGGGACTTTCTCCTTGCCCCGAGGTTCCTTCGGTTTCTCTGGCCTCTGAGGAGTTGCCTCCTCCGAAGCCCTGGGAGTACAGTCCTTGGACAGGCGCTCAACCTTGCCTCGGACTTCCTTTGCCCCGCTGGACCCGGGCTTCAGGGGCCTCGCCTTCGCAGTAGATGTGGCCTTCAAGATAGAAGCCATGTCTGGAGCTGGGTACCCCCTCTTCTTGAATTTATCTGCACAACAGGTCAGGTCAGCATCAGTATAAAAACAATGGATGGGAAAAATTTAAGTGTTGGGGCTTCGTACCTCTAGATGCCATCAGTTCGAAGTCCAGAAAGTATCTACTCCTATCGATCAGGTGATCGAAGTGGCAAAGCTTCAGAGACCTCTTGTAAATGTCCTCTATCACCTCGAATTCCTCCCTGCTGAGGTTGAACCTCGTACTACTATCTGCAAAGGAACCCCCCAACAGTTAGACGAATTCATATTCTGACTTCAAAAGACAAGCAGAGGTCGGGAGACTCACGAGCTTCGTAGTATTGTGTCAGTACTATGCATGACAGGGCTTTGTCCCCCTCCACTGCCTGCCATTTACCTCGCACCCAGAACCAAGACTCTTTCCACCCCTTGATAAAGGAAGGAAGTCCCACCACAAAGGGTGTGTGAGCCCCCCAAGGCGTGAGGTAGTACCACCCCCTTGACTCCTTCCCAATTACTCGGGGCTGGAACAGGGTCATGAACACATGAAAAGGCATGTCCTCCCCAAGTGACACTTCCTTCCATAGGAAGTACGAGCTAACCAGCTGGCTCCACCCATTTGGCAAAACCTGGGTCGGCGACAGCATGAATTTCCTAAGCACCGCGTAGGGGTGCAGAGGAAGACGCATACCTGCCTTGAACAGGTATTCACTCACGGCCACGCAGTCGGGCCTCGGATAGCAGGCCCGTTCGTTCGGCTCGGGGACTAACATTTCTATGTAGTGGGGTACACTGTACCTCTCCCTAAGTTCCCCCAACCTCTTCCCCGTTATATTCGAGGGCACTCTAGAAGCCCCCCACTCCTGGGTATAATCTACAGGCTCCTCGGCCATAGCATACCGACCCCATAGTCTAAAGACGCCACTGTAACAAGCTCCCTACCCGAAGTGGACTCCATTTTCTCAGTAAAAAGATATTAACAAGGGTTTTTTGTGCAAACAATACTTAAGGGAATTCGACACAAACGGAGACTGGCTGGAATTTAATATCACAGTCAACCTCGACGCCGAAAAATTTGGAGATTTGAGAGAGTTTCAGAGTGCAAAGTGTTCAAAAATTCTAAAAATTGGGATTTTCTCGCCTTTTATAAAGGTCCAAGACGAACCCCAGCCGTCAGATCAAATCTCAGTCAATTCGAGCCCTCCATTTCAGATCCAATCCGAGGCGTTGAATTCAAACGGTTTTTAAATCCTACGCTTCATATTTATGCGTGCCTCCCACACACCTCTCCAACGCGTCTGCTTCTAGAAGCGCCAGCTGCCCTCATAATTGCATTTTTAATTCGACGGCAGCAGTGCCTTGGAAGTCGTAACGATTCAGCCACTCTTTCTCGAAAACAAGCACAAAACATCAAATCATTGGCACAGCAGTCAACGCACAATCATTACCATTGGACCTCGGCACGCCTCGCAGGTTCGATTCTCAACCACCTCGGCAAGCCTCGCAGGTTCGGTTCCTCAACCACCTCGGCTTCCTCTTCACCATTCAGCAATCAAGCCTCGTAGGTTCGACTACTCAACCACCTCGGCTCATCTTCAGAGTTCAAACACCTCGCCTAAACCCACAGCAACACTTCTCAAGCTCTAACCATAATATAAATATCTATACTTGGACTTGGGGGACTATCATTTGGGGTTCAAAAATTCTTTCAACTTTTACTCCATTAAAGTCCACGCATTACATTAATGATTATACTTGGACTTGGGGGACTATTGTTGCGTGTTGTCATACCTGTCCTACCCACCTGGGCCAATGGTCCACTCATCCTGATCTACGTGGCATTTCTACCGAGGTGGCACACATTGTCGAGGTGGGTTATATCCGAAGTGCCTCAAGCCGAGGTCCATTCGCCGAGGCTCCTCGATCCGATGTACTCTGTCGAAGTCCAACTATCGAGCCCCATGACCCGAAGCATGGAACTTATTGAATTTAGCTGAGGTCCTCAAGTGGAAGTTTTTGTCATATGGTCGAAACCCCGAAGCTGATGCGCGAGCCTCTTAACCACAAGGAGCTTCCTCCACAATCACTTCTCCCAAGAGATCGCCTGCCCAGAGATCTTATTCGAATGACTGATGGAACGTTTATCACAAGCATAAAGGTCAAGTCTTCTCACTAGTATGGAGGACCTGCGCAAGCAATAAATACGCTGCAAGCTAGCAAGTCAAGCCCCATACCTAAGAAAAGACGTTTGAACTAAAGAGATGAGGCCACGTGCCACTTCATCCAAGGGCTCCCATTTCATATGTATCACTATAAATACTTCCATTGTGTAATGTCAAAGGCTAAGGCAAGAATCAATACTAAAGACTACATTTACTCAACTCTCTCTCATTTTACTTGCAATACACAAATCGAGTTTATACTCTTTTACATATACAGTTACGAGCACTGATTGGTAATTATTGTACAATCGGATTACGAACAACCCGCCGAATTCCGAACGTCACCATCCCGCGTCGTTGGGCTACTCCCACGCCCCTTTGAACCGCTCGTTTTAGACCGTCCACGTATCTTAGCGTATTGGACATTCGTCCATGCAAGCACGGGTGGGACCGACATCTGTTGGTGCACTTTTTGGGGTCAACAATCTCCATAATGCATATAGTAAGGGATTGAAGGATTTGCTATCATTCGACTAGCTATAGCAATCGAATCTTCATTGCAATGAGTGTCCGATGAATTATTACCAGTCGCACCTTCATTTTCAGTTTCTGAGTTCGTAGCCATGGACGGAAGCTCAGATATGCTCTGATACCATATCAATTTTGTGCCTAATTGAAGAGAATTTGCTTACAGGTAGAGAGAGAAAACATGTATGGAGAATGAAAATTTCCTCTTATTGATATTGTGAGCATCTACAGTTGCTTATATACAAATCTATATGTACAATAATTGCCAGATGTATAATTGACAGGTCATTAGCTCTAACAGCCTTCATCTAGCTCCAATAACCTTTAATTAACATTTGGCTAGGTACATAAATACCCCCAATGCTGCATAACCTGCAAGATCAAGATTCTAATTATAAGTGTACATTAAAACAAATTTCATACTCAAGAGTGTATCAAGTATCTCACAATTTGATGAATATGCGAGGGAAGGATCTGAGCACCGTCGACTCCATTTGGATCTTTCCAACTGTTAGTTGCAGTGTAATGAATTGACAAACCAAAACCCATACACAGGTTCCAGAAACGTTTACAAGTCTTGTCCGGAACTATGATTTTCACACAACAGTCTAGTTAGATCACCGTCCAAAAAAAAGAGGCATCCTTACGCCAAGTTCCCTAAGTCGGTTCACTATATCATAAAGAAATTCAAATGTAAGCTTAGATTTTGCATTGAGATCGTCTCTTATATTTGGGTGGATTCTAAACCACTCTCCCAATAACTTGTGCACGTGAGAACAGATCATTCTCCATGGCACTGGATGTTTCTCACAGAACATCAAATATTCCACCAGCAAGTCAGCCTGGTCCAGTTTCCCCTCTTTTCTTAATTCTTCACTCCCCATGCCCATTCTGCAGTCCAATATCCAAAAAAGAGAGCTAGATTTTCAAGAAAAGACTCGGTTGAAAGAACCTCTTCTGCATCGGTCTCTTCCAAACACTCCCTGACATCATCCATGTGCCGTATATTCCCATTAGCAAGAACAGGAATTATAGCTGCATTTTTAACTGTTTTGATGACATTCCAATTAGCCCGGATCTTCTTTCTCATCTGTTGTTCTTCCATGAACGGCTAAAAGAGCACAACCAGCATCCTCCGACATTTTAGCATAATTGATTGTATCTTGCAAATTTGGGAAAATGCAGATTTTGCACGACACTGGAACGTTAAGGTTGTCAACCAATATTTTTACCAGAGACTAGATAAGAGGAAGATTATCCATAAGGAAAGCTCCATAGTGTCCACGTTTCGCAATGTGCTGGGGACACCTGGGGGGGGGGGGGGGGGGGGGGGGGAGAGAGAGCAGATTGATCATACACTAATCATTGAAGAAAATTTCAATACAATATACAGGTCAGAGGTGCTTGAGAAGAGACTTTAGAACATTAAAGATATTTTCAACTCCTTGGAAAGGAATATTAATATTAATAGCTAATGATAGAATTGCAAGAAGCACAGTTTTGATGTTATCCAAGTATGAAAATGAGTACTGAATCTGTTCATCATTATATTTTTCACTTACTCTCAATTAAGAGTGGACTTTGTCGAAGCGAAGAATATTATTGCCCGCATATCATATTTAGGATTGATGAAATTATAACTGCTCGGTAAAGTAAAAGCAGAAGATAAAAGAAAATTTTAGATATAATTTAAGCAATGCAAACACAAAAATTGGAAAAAAAAATGTTTGGTACAAGTTTCAGTATCGTGGGAGTGAAGAGCAAAAAACTATATACAAGAAAGCTATCTAGCCTTCTTTTATGTGCAGCAATTAAATAGTAGTCACTCAAGAACCAAGTCAACAAGCCAAAACGTAATTTGTCTGGAATATATATGGACCGTGATCGATATAACCATGTATATGAGGTTTATACATTGCAGATTCAACAGTCATACATTCAATAAGGTTATGTAGATCTCAAACACAAAGTGTCAGTATTACTAACAGACTAAAATGCAAGATATGGACCAGCTTAGTAAAATAAGATCCTGGTATAGAGGCCATGCAGCAAAGCAAGACATAGATAAAAGAATTAATGATGAAATAACCACGAAATACAAGGCTAGTATAAAATCATGCTTTTCCCCCCCATAACTTGAAGAAAGTTCTTATTCTTATTTTCAAAACTAGATTATTAGGGTGTGTTCTCTTTGTCGTTTTCGGGCTGTTTTCTATTTTCAATTTTTCAAAATAGTGAAAACGCATTCTCTTTCCTATTTTCGAAAATGAATTTTCGAAAACGAAAAAAAATTTGTGAAGAAAACACAAAACGACATTTTTGTCATTTTGGACGTTTTCAATACAAACTCGAAAATGTTGAAAACACGAGAAACGGTTCCATTTGGTCCAAAATTCTCTTTCTTTCTTAAGCTAACAATCCATCTCCTCCTTCCATCAATAACAACCACCACTCGCCACCTAAGCTGCCGGACCCACCTACACACCACCGGCACCTCCTCTACAACCTCCGATCATCGCCTGCCCACCAGACCGTCGGAAGCAGCACCAATCCCCATCCAAAATCGCGAGTACAATCACAATTTTTTCCCAATTACTTCCACATCCGGTCACCATCTCGATTGTGGAGCACCACCATAACATTCCTCTCAACCAGGCGCATCTAGTTCCACCATGGGCCAGCCTCAATTTTGTCCAGAATCGGCTGAACTTGTTGGGTAACTCACAATTGTAACCCTATTCAGCTGAAGGTAATTCTATTGCCTTCTTCTTCTTTTCTTTCAATGTCAATATTTGTTTGAGGAATGATTTATACATGTCTGTGGTTTATAACAGTAGTGTGTTTAGTTGTTGATATGTGTTGTTTTGTGATTATATATTAGTGTATTAACCGTGCTGCAGCAGAAAGGATCTGATGATTTTAGATGTAGCTTTGAAGTGCGATTGAATCTACTTCATTGGCTATAGAGGCACCCTGTTGCTGGATTATCTGGTTGTGCGATGAGGACCTGTGATTTGCAGCAACGCGATTTTCCAAATAGGCACAATGGTAGTTTAGTAATAATACTTAAAGAGTTGTTTCTTTGTACAATAAGGAATTATAAAAAGGGAAATGTTGCTTTAGGCATGAGTGACTTTTCAAGTAGGTGTGTTGGTACTAAAACTTGTGCTTCTTGAGATGTGTTTTCTTTGTACATTAAGGAATTAAAAAAATGGAAACCGTGAATATTGATCTAGCCACTACTCAAGTTGAGGTTGACTTCCTAAATTATATGTTTTGATACTGTCACTAGTCCTATGACTGAATGGTTGATCTTTCTGTGGGGGTAATCTCATAGATCCTACATTCTTTAGCTATAAAACATAGGATTTGCTTCTAAATGGAGCATAGAATTCTGATTACAACATGTTGAATAAGTTAACAATGACAATCTTAAATGGCAGTGAGCTGAATAGATTTGAGTTTGTATAATGGTGTCATGGCAAGAGACTTCCTGATATCAGGGTTTAATTTTTGATATTTTCCTTTTTTTTTGAAAGATTTCTGTCATAGAAGTTGACTTTATCATTGTTAGCTGTTAGGGAAGACAATCACATTATAATACTACTGGCACCTTTTATTATCAAGTGCTTTGTTGGTTGGCTCATGAAGCGTGTATTGCTGCTCAAAGTTATGGAAACTGGACCGTTGGTCTGGCAACCGGTCCTTTTGTATAGGTTCCATTTTGGTGAGTTGGCATTTTATATATAAAGAAAAATGAACAATTTTTTATCATTATTATTATTTTGGTTCTTTATGCTCTTTGAATCTTCTATTTTCTCATGGTCCTTTTTTTCTTAAATTCCCCCCCCCCCCGCCGGCCCGCCCGAGTCTTTCTGGACTGAATCATAGAACTATAATGAAATATAAATTGAAAAGAAGAGCAACTGTTGGGAATTATAAGGCAAAGAGTGGCCTCCTGTAAAGGCATTCCTACTCTGGTAAATGCAGATTGTTTGAATTCATTATTCTCAATTTTAACCCTTTTTAGATTATTTATGTGACATGAATTTTTTTTGGATAAGGTAAGTGTATTATATCCAAAGTATAAAAATAAGTACAAATCACAGGGGCATATCCCAGAAAACAATGCTAGGAATTAATGTCTTCCTAACAACAATAGCAAAATTCTAGAAAGTGCTCATATCCTAATCACGAGAACAAAAAATATCTGTAGAAAATCCCCAAGAGCGTTGGAGCCATCTATTTTCATTAGATGGAACCAAGCTACTGTACAAGTTCACTCGTGCACAAATAGTAAAAACAATATCTTGAATAACAATAGACTCATTTTTAGGAGCCTCCCCATGGGTCCTAGCATTACATTCACGCCAAATAGCATAAATCGAAGCCGCAAACATTAACCGGATAACGATAGAGGACAATAACCTCCCACGAAATTGTTCCATCCAAGAGAGAGAATCAAGCCAACTCCGTTGAACCCATGGCAAGTTACATTTCACATGCATAGCATTCCAAACACGCTCAGAAAATGGGCATGCAAAGAAAAGATGATCCAAATCCTCCACTGAACATCCACATAGCACACAACGCATAGATTGAATCAAACCAAAGCTAAGAAGCTTTGTTTGTGTATAGATGCCACCTTGAATTGCTAACCAAAGGATAAATGCATGTCTTGGAATACATTTAGGGAACCATACAATGTGATACCAAGTCACCCTAGGGCAGCGCAGTCGAAGAGACTCCCAAGCACTCCGAACAGAGAAGACTCCATGTACATCATCCTCCCATCGCAATACATCCTCTCTATTACTGTCCGACCGAAAAGTATCAAGCGTAGCTCGCATCAAATCAGACAAAGCTGGGGAGCGAACTGATGGCCATCTCCAAGTATCACCCTCAACAATATCAGCCACCTTAACAAGTCTACTCAATCTGGATTCACGAGTGAACCTCTCTCCAAGAATCTTTTCTAAAGGGCCAAGAGGATGCCAATTATCATACCAAAGTGAGGCACTTCTACCATTCCCAATTTTGAATTTCATTTTGTCCTTCCCTATATCCCGGAGTCCAAGAATTTTCCTCCAACTCCAAGAGCAATCCCCAGGACATTTCAATTCCCAAATGCTCCGTCCTCTAAGTAAATAACATCTTGTCCACGAAACCCAAAGAGAGGAGGCAGAATCCGTACAAAGGGACCAAAGATGCTTTAACATGGCAGCCTTATTCCAAATCTCCAAGCCCCGCAGACCCAAACTACCCTCCTCCTTAGGCATACAGATTTTTGCCCAAGCCACTTTAGCCCCACCGATACCAAGGTCACTACCCTTCCACAAGAAGGCCCACAATGAATTTTCCACTTGCTTGATCACAGCCTTAGATAAAAGAAATACAGAGGACCAGTAGACCTGAATAGAAAATAACACCGACTTAATAAGTTGTAACCTCCCTGCATAGGAGAGCGCTCGACAGGTCCAACTCTTAGCCCTAGCTATAATACGATCCACCAGCATCTTACAATCCAAAGCCCTCAATTTGGTAGAGATAAGCGGAACACCAAGATAACGTACCGGTAGCACGTCCTCCTTATACCCCAACACATCAAACAACTGATCCTTAAGATATGTAGAAACACCACTGGCAAATAAATTACTCTTGTCTGGATTAGGAATAAGTCCAGAAAGAGCTTTGAATCGATTAAGGCATTCCCCAATGAGCGAGAGAGAACCAACCTCAGCTCTGCAAAAGACCATAAGATCATCAGCAAAACATAAGTGAGTGATCTTCTCCTTCGCACATCTCCAGTGGTATTTGAACTCCTGTTCAGCAACCATCAACCCCATTAACCCCGAAAAGACCTCCATAGCCAAGACAAACAAGTAAGGCGACAAAGGATCTCCTTGTCGCAGACCTCGCCCACCAGCAAAGAATCCATGTAGCTCTCCATTAATGGAAATCGAAAATCGAGTAGTAGTGACACACTCAGAAATCCACCTAACAACTCTCTCGGGAAAACCAAGCACCATTAAAACTGCAAAGAGGAAATCCCAACGAACAGAATCATATGCTTTCATGAGATCAACTTTAAGAGCGCACCTAGGTAATCCTCCCCTGCGGTGATAATTCCTTAACAACTCTTGAGAAAGAAGGATATTATCACTAATATGCCTACCTTTAACAAAAGCAG